AGAGCAGAGCCAACTCCTGGCTCCACTAACTCTGCAGTAGGACAGGCTGGAGATGCTCAAACAAACCCTCTTCCCCCCTGCACCAAATGCAGTTCCTCCTAAACCAACAGGGCTTGTTGACATCCTGCTTTGCTCAGTCTCCAGAGCTGGTAAAGGCTTCTAGGGAAGAAAGAAATCACAGATGCTCAAATGTTCCTTTTTAATGAAGGAAAAAAAGAAAAAAAAAGTAATGCTTCATTTCAGAATGACTTTTTATTTTGAAATCTTAAACAATTTACTAAGAACCGAAATAAAACCCCAAAAATGAGAACTTCCGAAATCTAAATGAATCATTCTCCAATTACTAAATGGAATCAGTCCCTTCCAAAACAGCTTTCAGGAACATTTCTTATTAAAAATATAATTGGCCACTATGAGCTGGGGGAAGGGGAAAAAAAAAAAAGTTTTGAAATATCACAAGTTCTCCCAGAAAATGAGACTGTTTTCCTCTCTGATTGCAATTAATGACCTGCCAGCCAAGGAGTCCCCAGACCAGCAAGGGCAGATTTTAGAGCAGAAGGAGGCTGGTGCCTGAGGGTGCATCCTCCCCTGAGGACAGCTTGAGTGTGTTCAGTTGTTCCTCTCAGAATTAAATGGATGCTACAAGAGGATGAAATGAGGCAGCACAGCCAAAATCTACGAGTGGCACTAACACAAAAGAGCCTGGGAGTGATCCCTTCTGCACCCTGCAAGGTCAGTGTGTTCCCTGCAATAAAATGTTGCCTGTCTCTAAATGATAAATAAAATGATGCTGCTCTTCTGGCTCAAATTTCCATTCTGTTGGCAGCTGGGGGGTTAAACACAAGCAGAGACACCACTCAGGGCTGAAAACCTGCGTGGTGACCACATGCAACTGGAGCAGTTCGTGTGTATGGGGTAACAGAGTGGTTTGGGTTGGAAAGGACCTTAAAGATCATCCAGTTCCACCCCCTGCCATGGGCAAGGGACACCTTCCACTATCCCAGCTTGCTCCAACCTGGCGTTGGACGCCTCCAGGGATGGAACATCCACAGTTAATCTGGACAACCAGTGCCAGTGTCTCACCACCCTCACAGCAAAGAATTTCTTCCTAATATCCAATCTAGACCTAGCCAGGGCTCATTCAGCTCCTGAGGGGTTTATCCCTCCTCTGGGATAAAGATCCTGAACTATTGCTACCCCTCTGCACTGTGAGTGGGAAAGGAGGAGGAGGAGGCAGCAAAGGAGGAAGAGGAGGGGGAAAGGAGGAAGAGGAGGGTGTATTTTCCATATGGATGGAGGCAGAAGCAACTTGTCGGGGTGGGGGGTGTTCAGATATTGGGTGGCATCTTTGGATAGTGCTGCTGATCTGACTTAGAAGCTGCCGAATTCAGTCCAGGCTTGCGGGAAACTTTTCCCTGCTCTCTGCATCCCCCTGCGCAGCCCCTGTTGGGGCCGGTGACATTGCTGCGACCTTGCAGCCAGGCACCTCGGTGCCATCTCCTAGCTCTGGTTCCTCCCCCCTGCTCCCAGCCCAGCCCTGCCCCTCACCTTCCCCGGGAGGCCCCTGCAGCAGCCGAGTGCCACATTTTCAATTTACACCAACTAAATGATTCATCGCCGCCTAAAGAGCCCTGAGCAGAGCCCGGGAGGGGAGCGGAGCTGCGGCAGGGAGAGGGAGAGGGAGAGAGAGAGGAGGGGGGGGACACAAGATCGGGGCGAAGATACAGAGATGAAAAGCTCCGGTGACCTGCTCGTCTCGGGGCAGCAGCCGATCAATCCTCCCCCCTCCCCTCTCCTGTCTGTGGGTCTGTCTGTCTCCTCCTCTCTCAGCGCACTCGAGTTTCCCGGTGTAAGGTTAGGACAGCAGAGCTGTGGAAATCGATTCCCGAGCCCTGGCACACACAGCCCTGCTCGGCCGGGAGAGGAGGGATGGAGAGCCTTCCCCGGGCATCCCACACCTCTCAGGTGGAGGGAGCTTGGAAATGGGGGTCTGGGAAAGGGGGCTGCATCACCCCTGAAGGGAAAATCCCAAAATAAGAGAGATATGCGTGGGAGAAACAAACCAAAAAAATAGATGCAGATTTCCCCTGTCTCCCAGTGCACACTGTTCCTCTTGATGGTTTATAGTGGAGGAAGAAGATGAGTGAACACATGGCTTTGCCCACAATCTGGTTCCCAGTCCTTCTCTGTCCCAAGTCTTTACTAAGAACTGAAGTAAAACCCCCAAATGAGAACTTCTGAAATCTAAATGAATCATTTTCCGATCACTAAATGGGTTCCCCCAGCCCAGCTGGGTTTATGCTGGAGGATGGTTTATAGTGGAGGAAGAAGATGAGTGAACACATGGCTTTGCCCACAATCTGGTTCCCAGTCCTTCTCTGTCCCAAGTCTTTATTAAAACTGAAATAAAACCCCCAAAATGAGAACCGATGAAATCTAAATGAATCATTTTCCGATCACTAAATGGGTTCCCCCAGCCCAGCTGCCTCTTTCACCCCTTCCACAAGCTCCCATATCAGTCTGGCTGGATTCAGCCCTGCATTGGAAATCCCCTGGGATTCCTGACTGGGAGGGAGCAGAGAAGGGTTAACAGTCAGGAGGGGAAATGTTTCCCCATGGATCCTTGTGCAGGAGTCATTGGTGACACATCCCACTTGAGAAAAAGTCTGTTAAAGAATCTTAAGATGTTCAAAAAATTCTCTAATAAGAGGCTTAATACTACAAAACTTTTGCCCTGAATATCCTGTGCAGCCAGAACTTGTTGAATGGGGTGTAATTGTCTCCTTGACTCTCAGGGCTACCTAAAAGGATGAGGAAACCGAGATCCAGAAAGCCACACCTGAGGCTGGACTAAAAACACCCTTCCAGACTAGGATTGAAAATCATATTTCTTAACTGCAATGGCAATTAGAGCGAAGGAAAAGACTGAAGTGGGATTTGATAACATTTGCCTTCCAACTGCTTCAAAAAAACCCCACAGGGAATTAATCTCAGCGACCCTGCTGAAATGTACATAAATAAGAGGTGTTTCTCTTTTGCAGATAAGGAAACAGGGGTTAAGTGGCCAGAGGGAGGAGGGCACAGGGATGAACCATCAGCCAGGTCCACATTGTGAGGCCAAACTTCTCCCTGAAGGATCGAGTCTATAAAGGTTTTTTTGTTTTTTCCTTTGTTTTAACCAAATCAATTCTGCCAATCCCACTCATCACCAGCCATTTAATTTTTAATACTCCTTCACAATGAGCTGCTGAACAACCTGCAGTTGTCTCTGCCCCTTTTCTCTCCTTTTGGGGATTTATTGCTGGGTGTATTGATTGCTCCTTGCCACTGACCCTGGATGGAAGGAGATGAAATATCCAGCATTGCTGTGGTACAATCAATGGCCAAACTCACGCTTTCCTATGCTGCTTGTCCTCCACAGAGGGCAAAATACACAGTGTCCTGTGGGATGGATGCAGGGTAAGGTGGGATAGAGACATCCTACAGACCTCTACATCAAATGGAAATATCCTCAGGTCAGCAGGGTGGAAGTTTTATGGGCTCATACTGACCAGGCCACAACTCAGGACTGGTTTGCCAGGAATCCCTTGAAGAATTCCAGAGCATGAGTCACGTTTTTGGACACGTTTTGGGATGTATCCCCTTGATCTGATCTGAAATGAAGCAGATGTGTCGTGGTTTTGGGTGAGGGTCACACAATCTGACAACGATCAACAGAAGGTTGGAATATGGCACAGGTTTGTTCCCTTCTGCTCTAGAAAGGAGAGGCAGCAAAGAGCACCACTTCAACTGGATCACTGCCCCTTACCAGGAGAGTTTGCAATGCAACAGGAAGAACTCGGAGGTGAACTCAGCAGGAGAAGACAAACACGCTGCAACAGCAGTGTCCATCAGAAAAACCCTCCAAGGCTGCCAAGGACACTGCGAGGCTTGGAGTGACAGCCCCCTGCAGAGCCACGCTCAGCTGGAGACGTCTGGGCAGACGGATCCAATGCACTTTGCAGCCCCTGTCTCTGCTCAGAGGTTCTTGGCAGATGAGGCCACCCTGCCACTCATAGCCAGGAGCTCGGCCAGCCTGACACCTCCCTCTCCACGGCTCTGCCAGAGGCCTCTCTGCAGGAGGAGAGCCCTGGCAGGGAAAGGCTGAAGGGAGGAAGCTTCCAAGATCGATAACATCATTAAAAATCCTAAAGAAAACAAAGCCAGTGAACTCATATCCCAGTGCTGAGGACACCTGGACCCAGTGCTCCTTGGGAGGAGCATAACCAATCCGACACAATAATGAAACAGTGAAATGAGGTCCCTTCTCAGCCTGCTATAAAGAAGCCCAAGAAGATGAACAGAGACACATTTTCTCCTCATCCTGTCCAGACAAGCCAAATGAGCAGTTTGACCCCTTCGTGCTCGTTTGGCCCAGCTGAGTTGGCCCACACAGGACAAACACTCAACTTCAGGGCCAACACTTTCCCACACTGAACATACAAACCATAAGGTCCCCTTGGACCAACTAACTTGGAGTGGAGGTCATGATGCTTACAGGGATCTGATTCCTCTCTAAGGGCAAAGGAGATCATGACAAGTCCAAAAAGGGAGAGGTTCAGGTCAGCAGTGGAAACTTGGAGGTGCTGAGACAAGGGCACCCAGTCAGAGCCAAATTGCCTTAAGAAGGGGAAACAACATAAATGTTGAAAAGCTGCTGAGGTTGATTCAGGGTGGACAGGTGCTTCCCTGATGCAATCAGCAGACCATGGATCACGTGATGGAAGAGCTCTGTCCAGTCTCTACCACCCTTGCCTTCCAAAAAATCCTTCCCAGTTAAACCAAGCCCTCCCCAGAAAGTCCCAGCGACCTTGCTGGAGTCACCTGGGGGACTCCTCGGCTCACCTGGCTCAGGTGAGACATCATTTTTCCTCTCTGCCCTGTGTTACCACAGCCACTGAGGGAAGATGGTCGGTGGAAAAGCAGGGCTGGGCTGGTGACAAGCCCCAGCAGGTACTTACGTGTTGTGAAGGACACACCATCCACAGTGAGGGTCTCCTGAGCCCAAGCACTCGCTGCAGGTCTCGTGCTGGCTACACGACTCCACGGGCACCCGGGTGAGCTGCAGGAGGAAAGGGGACAACCTGTCAGGCTTTTCACGGCCCATAATGACTTGATGGAGGTGCAACCCACCCTGTCCTCTTCCCCTGGTGCCTGTCCTCCCAGAGGGACATCCGTACAGAGCTCAGCAGTCCTGGGGGATGTGGGTGCAGTTTGCTCCAGAGCTCAGCCTGGTGCAATCCCTGTCCAGACCTTCACATCCCATTTGGCCTAACCCTCTTCCCCATGGCCTTCCACCCTTCGTTGCCAGATGACCTCGCTTGCACACCAGGGAATCAGCACATCAGGCAGGCTGTGGGGACCTGGGACAACTAAACAAGGTGTGATCTTCTGCAGCAAGTTCAACTCGCTGGGTCTCAGTGCTCTCTCCCACTTTGGTTGTGGGCCCTGTTGCTTTCCGGCTCCCTGTGAGCACTGAGGTCTTGTGATGTCTTTGCCTCCCTCCCATGACCTCCTGCACCACCACTCCCCACTGCCACCACCACTCCTGGTCCCAGGAGAGCATTGGTTCCACTCTCCACTGCCTGTGCATCTTCCCAACCATCAGTTGTCCCATTCCTGGAGAGGCTGCTTCCAGCAGGAAAAGGACAAAGCCTACCAGGCTGGGTATTTCCTTGCTGTCACCCTGCCTTTGCAGCTCAGAAGGCATCAGGTGTGGACCTGAAACACCCACCTACTGCCAAAACGCCACATTTTATTATCTTGTTTTTCTTTCATTTTTTCCTTTTTAATTAAAGTATTTCAGGGGAGAGATTTCAAAGGCAGAAGGGACTGCCCAGCCTGACCTCCTGTCTCACAGACAAGTGCCTTTTGATTCCTCTCAGGTTTTGCAAGCCCCTTGCGTCTTTTGATGCCAAATTTGGGCCCAATGACCTGACAGTCTCTTTTCCATTGAATAAACTTCAGAGAGCTCCTATAATACCCAGTCAGTCGCTGGTGTCTTCACCCCAGCTCCTGTCAGCAGGGAGAGTTTGTTCCTTCAGATGATGTAGTGTGGTATTATCCTGATGAAACACCACTGAGAACTGCCAGCTCTAAACTGCAGAACAGTTACTCGTGACAAACGACGAGGGAATACACCTGGATCCCGGTGCCAGTTTTTTTTTACTTGGCGCAACGTTCAGCAGAGTCTGAGCTGTGAAGTGACAGATTAAGATCCATCCTGATTGCACCTGTAAATGAACCAAGAATTGGCTGCCTTTTTTTTTTTTTAATTTATTTTTTAATTTTAAATATAAATATATATCGGGAGAAATTCCAGCTGTGTATGAAGACCTTTTCTATTTGGATCAGAAATTGTCTTCCTCACCTCTGTACACAAATCCACTACAACAGGTAGTTGATAGCCTGTGAACAAAAGCTGAAAATGTGGGGCTTTGCCTCTGGCAAGTGGCAGCAGCTTTAGAAAACTTCAGGTAGAAATATCATTTATTTATCATTGCACCGTTGCCTGTGCCAAGTCACCCACAGAAACCAACTGCAAGCTTTCAATGAAAAATGTGAGAACGTGGAGAAAAAAAAACAAACAAACCACCAACCAAAAACCAACACAAAACCACTTTTTCTCAAATTGAATCTTTTGCCATGAGCATAAGAACATAACCAGGACAGAGAGAGCAGCAACAGTGAGAAGATCAAGAGAGGGATGGAGTCCTTCAAACTTCTGTAATCACGGTGGACTTGGCCGTGAGAAGTTAATGGTTGGATTTAGGTGATCTTCAAAGGTCTTTTCCAACCTACATGATTCTGTGATTCTGTCAAGAAGTTTCAAAGGTGAGCTGGCTTGGCCATGAACGCAGTTGTTCCAGCTTCCTTAAGCTTCAGGTCAGGAAGTTATCAAAATGCCCATCAAGTATAAATGTTATGCTCCAGAATTTCACCCAATTAGATCTGTCGAGCCCAATAGCCTGTGTTGCATCCAACTTCCAAAAATACACCGAATTTTTTACAGGAGTGTATCAAGAGTTGCAGACCCTATGATTTGTTATGTCAGCCATTCCCACCTCTTTGTCCCGCCTAGGAAAAATATCTGAGTGAGTAATTTTTCCTTGCTCACATCTGGCTTGACCACCAGAGTCCTCGAAGAAGAGGCAGATAATTCAGTTGTGAAAGACTGTCAACCTGCCATTCCTCTATCCAGGTGTGATTGATTGTGTAAATCTCCCCCTTGGAATTAGAAATTTGTGGACACAGTTGGGATTGGCTCTGCAGTTCCTACCCAAACTACCCTCAGTTTAACATATGGTGCTGCTTGATTTGTCCTCATTAGCTGTGGGTAGTTTTCTCATCTCTGAGCTAGTTTACATCTGTCCTATGGAACTGAGCCCTGATTAAGAAGTTTAGGTGAGAACATGCACTTTTCAAGCATCTGATGATGTTGGGTTTGGATGTTCTGACTCAAAAGCCACTTGTGGCTCTGATATATGTACAAGAGAGAAGTCCTAGAGGGCTGAATTTTGCTGTTTGTTTGCAAATTGCTACCAAAAGAGTAGATAAAAAGTGGTCTCTGTAGGTTTAATTATTATTATTATTATTTAATTAGCCATCAAAGGATAGCCAAGCTCCTTTCAGAGTCGGGAGGAACCTGCTGGGAATCCAGATCTTCATCTTTGCAGGAATGTTTTGCTTTCAGTATTTAGGTTAGTTTGTGGGACATATATTGTTTAGGAGCACACCTTGCTTGGGTTGCTGTCCCAGAGACCACAGATGTGTGGCGAGAGCCTCCACATCCTGCCAGTCCCACCAGAGTGTGTCCTGTGTCACTGTTTGCGTTGTGACACGTTGTTCCTGCTGTATAAGACCTTTTATGAGTTCACCTCAAGCAGCTTTATTGCGAGATTAATTAAAACTGCCCCACGCTGGTAAATGTCTTGGGCTGTTAAGTGTCAGACCTTCTAATTAATACAGAAAGAAACTACAGAAAACAAAGGAGCTGCAGCTGAAAGGAAAGCCACCTAAGGGTCGTCTGCTGAAAAGAGAAAGAACATCAAGCAAATAAGGCACATCTGAGGTCTTATTTCCCTTTTTGGAACATAAACTGTAATTAATTCGGCTCAGCTTTCCAAGCTGAAAGTTTTGAGAACTGACCGTGGCCCTCCAGGGAACAGTCAGCTTTTTGTGCTGCTGCTAAAATATCTGGAAAAGGAAAAGTCCACACAGCCTCCCAATTACAAAGCCTTGACATTATTCACTGCAACGAAGGGACCAGACAGCGCTGAAGGTTGAAATCTCCACGGTAAACCAGGCTGTGATTACTCCTTCCACCTCTCCTCCAGCGTTGGAAAAGCCTGACAAACTTTTCAAGGTCATTTCCCGACATCAGTGAGGGTCTTTCACCGAGGTGGAACTTGGATTCAACGTTTTGCTGCAAATATCACAGAATCACAGAATATGCTGAGCTGGAAGAGACCCATCAGGATCATCCAGTCCAGCTCCTGGCCCTGAACAGGACAAGCCCAAGAATCCCACCCCGTGCCTGAGAGTGTTGTCCAAATACAAATAGGGTTTCAGCAGAGAGAGGATGAGCAAAAGCAAAGTGTCCTTCATTTTGGGGCACCATGAGCCAGTTTAGAGTAATTTAAATTCTGGAAGTGGCCCCGGCTTAACTGATATTTTGGCCTCACTGTGCCAGTAACAGAGACACCTGTTGTTTTAAGGACTTATATCCCATACATTAGGAAAATATATGATATTAGGAAAAGTTTCTTCACCCAGAGGGTGCTTGGGCACTGAACAGGCTCCTCAGGGCAGTCACAGCACCGAGGCTGACAGAGCTCAGGAAGGGTTTGGACAATGCTCTCGGGGACAGGGTGGGATTTTTAGACTTTGGGTTCTTTGGAATATTGTTCCCAGCTCACAGCTGGGGAGGTGAGACACTGGGACTGGTTGCCCAGGGAAGCTATGGAAGCCCCATCCCTGGAAATGTCCAAGGCCAGGTCGAAAGGGCTTGGAACAATCTGGGATAGTGGAAGGTGTCCCTGCCCACAGCAGGGGGTGGAATTGGATGGCCTTTAAATTCCCTTCCCACTCAAACCTTCCTATCATTCTATCACTCTTTCTATCCAGAGTGAGGTGAGATCCCAGAGCCAGGGGTGGACAAGGGGTAAGTGATTCCAATGTCCTTCTCAAGGGCAGCAAGAAAACAATGAGCAGGCCCAGCTGCCATTTCTGCAGCAGGATTTGAAGAGATATTTCACTTCATCAACACATCCATTCACTGGCTCCCAAAGAAATCACTCATGAGTTTCTGGCTCACAAGGACATCTTGACAAACCTGGCAAGATCCACAAACCTGCTGCACAGTTCAGAGCTCACTTACTACTTCAGGACACATCATCTCACCTCTGATCCAGCCTTACTTCCAAACTGCAGCTTCTCCAGCTCCCAGCTTCCCTTCTGCCCTCCATTTCTAGTATGAATGAGTTCCAGAAAGTAATTTAAAACAAAATGATTGAGTGTTTTGGATCTGATAGACAGTAACAGCTAATCCTGTTAGAAATTTGGCTCCCACTTCTGCCATTATATATTCACAAAAGCTCCTGCTATGTGCTCAGTCATAATTTTCTGGCTCCTGTATTTGACTCTTTTATTTCAATATACATTGCTTCTTTCTCCCCTTAAACTGCCAACATTCTGGTCAAATCTCTGAATCATTGCTCAATCTCTGCTGTTATAATTGGATGTTAATACAGAGGCAGGATTTATTCAGTCTGATGGACTGAGTTAATTTAAATGTACAAAAAGGCATCTTAAGTAGCCAATTTCCTTCCCAACAGTCAAAAGATACATTTCCAAAACACTGAACAAGCCGTGTGGGTTCTGGGAGTGCTGCTATCTTTCGAGACTCAGCCAGCCCCCAAAAAATACAGGAAGATTAAGAGTGGAGCTTATTGGATTTCAAAGCCTGGAAAAGAGTGTTCCTGATAATACATTCTATTAAACAGAGCAAGGCAAGAGCAACCTGAGAGACCACTGGAGGAACCATTTCTGCACCCTGAACAG